TTTTCCAAAGATAAAGAAAAAATAGGCATTACAAGTTTTTTATATTTTTTGTGATACGCCACTGGTTACACACTTGGTTTATCTCTGCACACTTGTGTTCTGTGAGTACATAGATACCAACCAACAAAGTAGCTGCGCGTTGCCAGATGTGAAAAAATTTTACTAAAAATTTTTCTTGCAAAAAATAAATAAAAACTCAATAAATACAAGTTTTATGCCCTTAAAGCTCTAATACCCTTCTGTATTTATTTACTCATCCAGCTATTAGCTTAAGCAATGATTAGAAAATTAATTTAGTACCTATTTTAAAAAATCCATAACCACAAAATTAATTTTTTCTTGTTTTTTTTTCTTTCTGTCTACTCAGATGAAATTGGGACCAGTTCACAGGTTAAACTTTAAACATATTTTTGTGTAAATATATCCAAAAGCACTTTCCTTAGTTAAAATATTTACAATTTGAGCACATAACCTAAAATTTGAAAGAAATGCACTGTCATAAAAGTTGTCAGATTTAGTTTGAATTTACCTTTAGTACAAAAATGACATAACCAACAATTAATAAAAACGCCAAATTGACAATTTGCATTGTTAATTTTATAATTTTTGTAATTAAGCTAAATTTAAACAATGTTTGTCAACTTTTTTGACAGAATTTGGAAACGCTGTTGTTACCAACCAGGGTTATCAACCATAACATAATAAATTAAATTAGGCAACCAGATTACCCTAAAGTTCCTAGCCGATCAGTGGCGTACTTTTTGGTAGGATAAAGGTTATTATAAATTATTTTTAGTCTTTGGAATTTAGAAAAAAAAAGTTTCAGGTGCTTTTTTATGGACCCTAAGGAACAACACATTTTAATATATAACATTAATTACATAACACCCTGTATACAGAATATTACCATATAAAATAAAAAAAATTAAACCTTAAATTATTTCGACAAAAAGTTAAATTTCTGTTACTGAAAAAATCCTATTACTCTGTTAAGGAATATATGGATGATATTTTATTGTGAGGTTTGCTTATGTTAGTGATATATACTATTTGTTTTATATACCTAGTATTTTATTATCTGCAATTTAAACCTTTTAACCCATAAACTGTATGGCAAAGTATTAATAAAATTATTTCTATTTATATTTCTAATAGTTTATTCTACAATGTTATTGGTATAAATTTGTCATTTAAATGATAGTCGATAAATTTTTACAAAAATCCTTACATTATATTTAAATGTTAGTTTTAAATTTTAAAGTGGTAATTTTTTGATAAAAAATGTATCGACTATACGTATCATTTAAATGACTCTTTACAAATTTAATCCGATAATTTTGTAGAATATTTTATATATAAAATATTTTTTGACTATCAGCTGTTTTGAGGTTAGAAAAATTAACTATAGGTAGTTAATTTTTTTAAATAGATGTAAATTTATGTTAGAACATCATTAAAGTGCTAAACTTTAATCTTTAAACTATTATATAATAAATGCTAAAACAGCGTTTCATAAGTTTAGGTAGATATAATCCTATAGGATCATAATATAATATATTATATGATTGGGCTTAAAATCTCTAGAACTATTTGAACAAAAATGCGTAGGTACATTTAGGAGACTATACAATATATGTAATACAAAGGAAATATTTTTAGTAAAAACTCATTTGTGTAAAAATAACGCGCACTTTTGAACACCCTACCATAACTTTATACTTTATTATACCCAGCTCAAGAAATAAATGATACCATCAAATTTGTTTGCCGTTGTAGTGAATAATTTTCTTATTTTACGAGCAAGCCATTGAAATGAGTTCGGAACATGAAATATGTATACGCAAAACCTGGTCAAATTTGTTTTTATCGAGAATTAACATATGCTCGTAAAATGATATATTTCTGTATTGAAATGTTAATCCACATTCACGTCACGACTAATGAGCCGATTGGACTGTACTTATGACTTTTATAGCGGTGCTAAATATGCAACGTTGTAAATTAATTTTCAACAAAGTTTTTTAGATTAAACATTGCCTTTGTGGGTTTTATTACAGGCATTATTCGCATTTATGGTTATAAAAATTCATTACGAAATAATTACATTTAAATTAACCATTAATATTTTAATTGCATAGTTAAAAGCGTTCGTTACTTCAATAGTCTCGCGGGGATCGAGTTGGAAAAGGGCCAAGAACAGATCCTTGAGGAACCCTGCAAACATTTTCATTTTAAGAGTAGTAGTACTATAATTATAATTGAATATTAGATTATTAGTGTGTTCTAAAAAAGTGGGACATTGCAAAATCAAATTATAAAAACAATTAAATTTAAATTAATTAATCTAGTGATACGTTTGCGGCAAGCATTTACAAAACCATTCATCTGGTTAGGATATACTGCCTATTTTAGTGTTTTTATTGAAAAGAAATGGCAATTAACAAGCAATTAAGAACTAATTAGCTAAAGGAAATATAAGTCTACTCATGTGCAAGTTTTTATGATTTGTATTCGAAAACAAGGACAGTAACTCCATCTCTATATCACATAAAATATGGACATTGGTTCAGTTTTAATTACCTCACCAATTAATTATAATTATTAACTAATTTATATTTGCAGTAAGGCGTGCTGAAACCATAAGATATTCGTTTCTTAAGAAGTTGTAAATTAATTTTAGAAGATTCTTGGAAACAATATTAATTAATTAAATTTTATACCTCCTTAAAACCTTCATAAATTATCCACACTTTCATATTTATTTGGGTTTTCAAATGTTTGTAATAACCACAACATATTCCTTAAAAAAGATCCTTCAAAATCATTAGTTTGGTAAGAATCTTAGGTGGGACCAGACCTTGTTGACCAACAGTTAAACAACAGTTTTTTTATCAAATCATAGCATGTTGGCCAACATACCCTTTGAAGTACCGCTCTGGAAGCAAACATCGAGCAACAGATTTTGAGCAATACGTCCTCACTAAACGACCTGTCATGTTGCTCAATGGTTGGTCAACAATGTTTGCTTATTCCGGCCCTGGCTTAATGATTTTGGATTTGGAGGAATATCTGCATATGAACAAAAAATCTTGCAAAGGAGGTGTTTCTTCAAATTTTCGACTTTGCTCTGATTGGTTTATTACTTTCTTTACAGGGTGCAGTAATTATTCTTCTATGTGTATACACTAGGGTGAATCTATATATAGTATACTATTCTTATTTTTGACTTTCAATATCGAAAAATTGGATGCTGGGTACCTCAAAAGAAGCATATCTACTTATGAGCTCTTACTATTCAGAGAAATTTTCCATTTGCACTAGGGTGCCAAAAAAAAAATCTTTTCTAGTCTCTTGTAAAAATATGTTAGGTTGATTAAAAAAAATTTAGGGGTCGCACAAGACTTTTAAAAATTTCCAAAATCGTCAAATATTAAATTTTTGATTTATTTTAATTTTTTTTCTCGTTCCGATATTACTTTCAAGGTTGAAAATAATAAAAATTCTGTAAATTTCAAATCGATATTTTGATTTCCAAGGGTCGCTAAAAGTTTGTTAATATTTATAGGTCGCCCGAAAACATTTAAAATACCTACTATACTTTGAAAGTTTAAAAAATATTAATTAGAAATCAAAATATCGATTTGAAATTTTCAGAATTTTTATTATTTTTAAATTAAAAAATAATACCGGAACGAGAAAAAAAAATAAAAACAAAAAAAATTTAATTTTTGACGATTTTGTAAATTTTTAAAAATCTTGAGGGACCCCTAAAAAACTTTTAATCGAGCTGATCTTTTGACAGGGCTCTTAAAACATGACAAACCAACATATTTTCACAAGAGACGAGAAAAAAAATTATTTTTTTGGGCCACCCCAATTTGCACATTATTTCGATGAAAAACAAAATGTTTCTCACTATCAAATGTATAAAAACCTAAGCCCAATACATATTTTTAAACAACAACAAAGGCATCCTATGGTTTTTTAAAAATATATCCATTTAAAAGATATCTTGGGTCATTTTTCTTTTTAATATAACTTGATTGATATTTTGATAAATCGGCGCGCGCGAAATAATAATAAGTATATCCCGTATGGTCTAGTGGTTAGAATTGGTGTTTTAAAATTTTCGGAAAAATTCAAATAGCAAGATAATGTATATGACATTGAAAATAGATATTATGATTTTTTTAAATAGGTACTCCTATTGCATCATATTGTTTTCATTTCATTAATGATGATAAACATGAATTCCCTGCCTAAGAACGGGAATAATGAACTCATTATTCACGTTGTTAGGCATCATTGGCCCATTCCAATATTCACTGTGATTTACATCAATCGGGTTTTAAATTGGGAGAAGGCAGTCATAATAACATTTAAAATTTATAAAAAATAAGGTTTACCATTCAACAGATGTCAGATTTTATTTATTTGTTTTTTGAAAATCATTTAATAATCTACTTACTGGAGTAGATAAAGTCTAGAATTACACTCGAGATTATAAGCATTATTCACTCGGATGATATAAGTCTCTCGTTTAGGGACTCGAGTCAGCGGTTCTCAAAATATTAAAAAAAACAATACTAAAAACCTGTTATAACCAAACATTGTTATATCTTCTTTATTCCTGGAAACCGCTGATTTTTGTCCAATTTTCAAATGCCACTTTGATGGAAATCTATACCTATAAATAAAAGGATATAAAAAGAAATTTAGACATACATACATATTTTTAAGGTTGTCAGACTAAATAACATTTTTTTGCCTATGAAACAACATTATAACTGACATCCTGAGCCGTCTAGAATATAAGTTATGAGTTCTCGTAACGATTCGTTTTTTATTCGCTACACAGCGACAGGATATTGCAATATGAGGGCAATTAGCTCTTTCTGAAGCGTAAGACTGGTACTGCATTTCTAATGGCAACTTTAAATAGAAATATATCATCATCAAATCTTTTTTTTAAACCTAATGATTTTTCTCTTTTGTTTCAGTTGATTCCAATGGTGACCCGCCAAAACTGAAATGCAATCTGAGGAAACACAAGCCAAATAGAAAACCAAGGACTCCATTTACCACCCAACAACTGCTAGCTTTAGAGAAAAAATTTAGAGACAAGCAATATCTTAGTATAGCGGAGCGAGCGGAATTTTCAAGCTCCTTACGATTGACTGAGACTCAGGTAAGAAAGTTTAAAATTACTAAAAATATTTGATGACATACTGAGATCTGAGAGTGAAATGGTGCCTTGGGGAACTCCCTTGTTTAAAGACTGTAAATTACGGTTCGTGTACATAATTAGCAAATTTTTTTAACAATGCCACGTTTAATTAATATTATCTTGAAAACAAATCGTCAATACTAATTATCAGCAGCGTATTAGCTGTAATTAGCATGTTGATAGATATTTTAGAATTCCTACATAGTGCTTTTTCAATTACGTAGTACTTCGTACAAACAAATATTTTGATAATTAGAATTAATATAATTTTTAAACAACAACAAAAGAAAATAAAAGGACACAATTAAAATAATTGAAAATGACTTCTGTTTGGCTAATTAGGGCATCTGTGCTCTCGATAATTAGGCTCAATTATCGAATGGTAATATGTTACACATTAATTGCTTGTCGATTTAAAAACACCAATTAAGTACTAATAATTGCAATCTTAATTGAATATTGCATTCAACGGGCATACATATGAAATAATTAAGGAAATAAGAATAAAAAGTGAATTAATTTTTATATGTATATGGGAACTGTATTTCCACATTATTTTGTTTTCAATAAATGTGCAAAATATTGCATAAATATTTACAAAATTTTCTTCATTAAACAAATTTGGTTAAGAGACATTTGATGAAAAATGAATTGGTAGATTTGGGCCACAGCCAGACCCAGCAAGAAGTGCGGATTTATTGAATATGGATTTTTACTTTTGGAGCAAACAAAAACAACAAATTTATAAAGATTTATAAAGATTAAAAAACAAAATTACTGATGTGATCAGAATTTAAAAGAAGTATGGAAATATGCTCGGAAATATGTCATGCAAACATTCTTTGTCTTCATTGCATATCGGATCGAAGTACTCTCTAAAAATGAATGAGTCAAAAATGACTAATTTAATAGTTATTACTAATAACTTATTAGTGGCTGCTTTTTCACTTGTACCATGGTTAACTATAAAATACCCTGGTATTTCAAAATTTAACAGCCAATTCTTATGTAAAATTGTCACCTGAATCCGAAAATGTCGTAAAAAGTTAAAAAAAGTAGAACAGTTTTTAAGATATAGTCAATTTTCCATTTAATATGGAATTGACTATATCTCAAAAACTGCTTCACTTTAATAATTTTTGACGGTATTTTCCGATTCAGGGGACAATTTTACATAAGAATTGGCTGTTAAATTTTGGGATACCATGGTATTCCATGGTTAACCATGGTAAAAGTAAAAAAGGAGCCACTAATTACTATTAAATTAGTTATTTTTGACTAATTCATTTTTAGAGAGTAGTAATTTAAGTGGTTTTTAGTTAAATTATTTAAAATTGTTACTATATTTCAAAGTCAATCCTGTAGAATAGGACTATTATATTTCATAACCAAAAAGTTCCACAAGGTACTATTTTAGGCCCAGATACATTTTTAAAGTTAATAAATAACTTTTAAATAAGATATTAAAAATTTTCAAAAAAAGGAATTTATTCGTTCGTGATAATATATAAAATTAAACGATTATTTAGTAGATTTTTGGACAATTTATGGTACTTTTATTGAATTTATAATTATTTTAATTTGGAAGAAGTTCCATTTGCCAAGTTCTGTTGAAATCCTACTATACATTTTGTAGGATTTTGATTCTGAATTTGAACGTCATGTTTTTAAGAAATTCTAACTTAAAAGTATCGAAATCTATGGAACGACGTTTTACTATTTAATAACATGCAACTGTGCTATATAGAAAAAAGTAAACCTTTTTTAGAGAAAAGTTAGGTATTATATAAAATTTTTGCAATTATCGTCTATTGTAAGAGTTTTGACAATTATCGTACTCTCTAAAAGTGAAACAGTGAAATTTTCACTATTTCCGTCAGTGTAAAATTAGTGTTTTTTATTGAAATTTTAACTTCTCCAAATTAGTGTTTTTTATTATCACTACTTTTCCGGAACTCTCGACATAAAATAGTGAAATTTTAACTTTTTTGAACTAAACCTATTTCACTAATTTGTACAGTGTAATTTCCACTAAATAAATTAGTGCAAAGAAACTTATCACTGCGGCAAATAGTTAATATGCACTGTCAATCAGTGAAAATCCACTGTTTCATTTTTAGAGAGTATATTGTAAAATGTGTCACTAATACTTTTGTAGACTTGTAGGTTACCGTATAAATAGTTATTGCAATACTCGTGTGTTAAAAATCCTTATTAATCAAAAGAATATAAAAGTAAAAATACTGTATGCAATAGTCATAGATTTCAAAACTCACTTTGTAATTGTTAAGGTTTATGCGATTGTGCTTTATGGGAAAAAGTAAAGCTTTTTATAGAAAAAAGTTAAATATTATACATAGTTTTGACAATTATCATATATTGAAAAAATCCAAAGAGTTGTATTTACATTAAAATATATAACCAATAGTTTTTGAGACTTGCAGATAATGTATAAATACTTATTGCAACACTTGAATGTTGAAAAAACTTAAACTTTACTTAAAATACATTGCATTCGACTTTTGGCAATATACGAATGTTGTAAAAGGTGTGGCAGACCTGAGGTTTGTACTGAAAACAGTGCGTTTTACACTTTTGGGTTAGAATTTTTTGAAAACCTGATGTTAAAGAAGGATTTAGCAGGTCAAAAACCTTTGAAAAAATATTGGATTTTTTGTTCAATTTATACTAATTTAAATTTCTTGAATTTTGATAATATTTTTCATTTTTATACTTAATAAATACACATGCAAAATTATGATAAAACTTTTTCAAAAATTATAAAATATATTTTTTCAAAACAACCGTTTTCTTTTCAGGTGAAAATCTGGTTCCAAAACCGCCGCGCCAAAGCAAAACGGCTTCAAGAAGCCGAACTGGAAAAACTCAAAATGGCCTCCCTCTCCCGGCACCCGCACGCACTATACCCTCACCCCGCGCTTCAAGGGTACTTTACGCCGGGCGCGCACCCTCTAGCCTCGCTACTGGGGGGCCGACCCATGGGGGGACTCTCCCTAATGCCGCAAGCCCCCCCTCCACACATGGCCTCCCCACAAGGCATGAGATCTCCCAGTCCTAGGATGTCGTAAGAAAGTGTATATTTATTTATTAAATAAAAAAGTATACAGAGTGTTTAAAACATGTTTGAACAAAAACCTCAAAGGTTTTAATTGTAACACTCTGTATAAGAGTTGCAATATGTTTTATTGTGTAAAAAGTGACATACTAAACTATTATAAATATACTTACCATTAGGTATCAAGTTTAATGTTACATTGTGATGATTAAAAAAACAGTTCAATTAATTTATTTTATATTTAAATTTTCTGTTAAATTAAATTTCAAAATACTGTTTTTATTTTTTTTATTGCAAAATTTGGTTTATTTAAACTCTTTTAACAACAGATTTTTCAAAATATTTTTTGTGGTAATCATTCAAGATTATAAATGACCTGCAGTATAGTTTATCTGTATTTTGTGATCTTTACACTCCTAATAATTAATATTTAACACTGTATCTATAATAATATTTCATATTACTACTTATTTATTGATATTAATCACCCATATACGGAGTCCAAAATATAAGTATTTAAAATATTTTTTTGGACAATTAAATTAGGTAAAAACTCAAAACTCTAGAAATAGTTGAGAAATCTAAATCTCAATTTTATGGTTATTAACTGGCAGTTTAGCAGAGATTTATTAAATTGTATTTTTGGAAAATATCAAACGACGAACTAAAATTATGTTAGACACATGTGTCATGTAATTATGTCCCGTTTCGTTTTTGTTTTTTACATCGTTTTGGGCCAAACGTAATTCAGCGTTTATAAACGACAGCCACCTATTAAGATTGCCAAAGAAAAAAGAAGATTTCTCTTCACTAAAACTCAATTATAAATTTTATTTATACCCATTAAGTGTCTTGTATACAGAAACTTAATTAATGAGTTACTTTAATTACTTGTTTTTGGGTACAGGGGCTGACTAAGTAAAAAACAACACTGCCCAAAAGTGTTCTTGAGGTATACAATTATTCAAATATTGTTTTTGTTAATCATTTCCAATATAAATTTATCAAACTCCAAAAAATTTATGTACTCTAATTTTAGCAATGATTTCACTTTTAACATTACCACAAATAGTATATAATTAATTTAACTTCAATCTCTTTTTCATATAAATTAATTAAAATTATCTTATTTGAAGTAATAAATTATTATTTTGGGTTATCGAAATCTTACAACAGGTCATTAAAAATTGAGAAATTACCCATCAAATTTAATTCTATTAAGAATGCATTTATTATTATTATTTCTTGTAAATATTTTGTACATACTTGTAAATAAAATTGTGTAAAAATGGATGTAAATTATTTAGTTGTAATTTTATTATTTATGTAAAATATAATGTGCACAAATTATGTGATTTTTTAATGATAGATATGAATGTTCAGTTTTGATAGTTCTTTAAGTATTATTAGAACGAGTTCAATAAATATATTAAATAATATTTTGTTTTTCAATTATTTTTTCCATAAACCTCATCATATTTAGTCAAAAGAATGGATATCAGGTTTTAAAAGGAAAACTCATTTGTCTCTCATTTTGCCTTCTATTTATTTTGCAAAATAATCATTATTAAGCTAAATGATGTAAGTCATTAAATTTTGGTTTCTGAATGAAGTCAGTTGGATTGTTTCCAAGCTTGCTAAATTTTCTAAACGGAAAATTATATTGGATTAGCTTTCAAGTATGCAGGAAATAACTTAAAAGTTGTCACTGGTTAAAATTTACTTCTAGTCGTTATACAATGTAAGGAAGGCATATAAACCTTTCGAATAAAGTTATGTTTACTCTCTTTATAGTACAGTTTTTGGTTTTATTAATAATTTATAGAAAATTTATTAAAAATGTTTACCATTTTTAGAATTTTATAAATATTTTCTACAAGGATTATTTGATGTTTTCCTGTATTTTTTAAAATTTCGCTCTCTTTATATATAAATCCAAAATATTAAATTAAAATATGCTTGTCTATGGAGTTACTCAAGGTTCTGTTCTTTACCCGGTCACATTGGTCGACAAAATGGAATTTTTTGTTTGCCACAGAGTGGCTAATAATTTTTCTATGGTAATTTGGATGCGCATTCAAAAAATGAGCATAAATTAGCATTTGTGTTTCAGATTTTATATTATATTATACTCACGAACGATTTTTTTAAATTTTAATTTGGAACCCTTCGCTAAAAAAATTTTAGAGACAATAAGAAAGGTTCTAATAAAAACAATAATTATTTAATAAAAAAAAAGGTTGGTTTTTCCAATAAACGAGGAGTTCCACAAGGGTCTATTTTAAGGCCAGTTTTATTTGTTGTTGCTCACAGAATTTATTTAAGGACTCGTACAAAGCAATAATAAAGGTTCTAATAAGAAGAACAATAATTTTATTATTTAAAGAACAATGATTTATAAATAAAAAATTAATATTATTTATTTTTTATCAAACACGTATTTGAACTTAAGAAACGAATTTTGTTAGTTTTTCCAATCAGCAAAAGGAACTATTTTAGCTGAATAAAAAAAAGATTAAAATAGCTGAATCCATTTATATTTTTTTCTACGCCCATTATCGTACATCTTTCCATGACACTAAGTAACCTTTTAAATACAAATTGACAAGTTGTAACTTTATGGCGCTTTAGTCACGGGATTAAGTTAGCAACAGGTTTTTAGTCAAGGGCTGAAGTTAGTTTTAAGTTAGTTGACAGTTTTCAAACGTCATACAATCGTTAAAATAAAGTGCCTTTCTTGTAAAATAATACTAAAAGTAAAAATTATTTTATTATCTCAATGCAAAAATACAAAAGTATTAAATAGTTTCTTGGCGCCAATGTTTGAAAAGATTATATAAGCGTTTGACCTTTTGATTTCGCCGTCGTAGTGCAGTAAACTAGATTTAACTGATAAAGAGTTATGATAAATTTTGATATACACAAACAAAATTGAGATTTTAACGCCGGTAGATTCTCAAGTTAGAAATTCTAATGAAAATTTCAATAAATATACTTAATTGTCACTTTTTTACCTATAACATTTTCCGTTGAATTTTTTGTAATACTTTGTGATAATATTTTGCAATTATAGTAATAAAAAATCAAAGAATAAAATGTGTTCTTAACATAAGTTTGAAGTTTTAAAGTATCAGTAATTGTTAAGGGGCAATGTTAATGGTGAAAATTAGATTAAAAATGTTTATTGGGATGGTTACTTTATTTTTCTATACAGTGTGTCCACAGATGGACTTAAATATACTTGTAAAAATATTTATTTTAAATTTTTCGAGAAAAAGTCATTCCTCATCATTTCTTTTGCTAGTTATATAAATCCGATTCGCGTTGAGAAACTTTTATTTTGTTATACAGAGTGAGCAAAAATACAGATTTTCAAAATTTTTAAATAATTTTTTTCGAAGTGCTAATATAAAGGGCTGCTAAGGGGAAATCAAAAAGTCAAATGAAGTTCTTGATACCAAGATATTTGATATTCAAAATTAAAGATATTATAATAGTTATTATAACTATAGTTTTCAAATTTTAACAAATAATTGTAGACATTGTAGACATGTCAGTTGAAAGCAACAACCTTGATTCATAATCACAAAATAATAGGATCTGAATCGATTTTATTTTTAATCATTAAGTAAAAATCAACTTTTATTTTTATACTGGAAGATTTTTGGAATTACGGAAATATTTTTTAACAAATATTACTTATTACCTATATTATTTATATCTCTTCTACAAAATTAAATTGTATTAAAATTATGTATAATTGAAAATATATTAGAATGGTACCGGTACCAAATATTTAGAAGCCATAATAAAGGTTTTAATAATAAAAAAAAATATTTAAAAAAACATTTTAGAATGAAAAAAATAAAAGCTAATAATATAGTAGAAAACATTAATTTTAATTTAATATTAGGATACTAATGTCTAGAGAGTACCCCTAATAAAAACGATGGTAAATATTAATGAAGCTAATAAATCATCATCACAATAACCGTAATGGATTCAAATTGGAAATGTATGCAAAACAAAACGGAGGCAAGTGTTAAGTTGTACATAATGAAAATGCCGAGATTCAAAATGCACGGGCAGCTGCCTGTGGGCATTTGACGTCCCTCGGACGCAGAATGGGTCCATAATTGGACCCCTGCGGGGCACCCGGGACCCCCCTGTCACGCAGCAACCGCGCACACACACGAATTATTTTTATTACTCGTTTCGTAGAAATTTTGGTGCTGAGATTTTACGACACGATAAATATCAGAGGATATTAATTATTGGCTGGGTTGTATTTTAATTTTGGTGTTGATGGCTGGTGATTTGTTGTCTTTCCTTTACTACCACAGAATGTTGGGGTTAATAAGGTGGCGTGCGGTGAAAGTTACGACTCGAAAACAGAACCAAGAAAAATTGGGGTTTTATTATTTACTATAACAAATAGACCCTTTAGTAAATAGCTAGGTGTACCTATTCACTTAAAATTATAAAACATGTTTTATTTATTATCGAAATAAAAAATAAACCAGTAATATTTGAGTTTGAAAAACTTGGCAACTCGGTGTATCTAATGAGTTGACATATTCCATAGGTATTTTTCAAAACGCATGCAGTATTTGATCCAAGCCACTTGAAAACTTTTTATACTTCAGATATGTATAAGGAATTTATATACCTATGGGTCTTTTCACTAAATATTTTTTTTATGTAAATAATATTTTATAAAAATACAAACGGTTATATTTTTTTGTACAAAATTCTTAAGTTTTCTTTGTTAGGTAACGAGAGATTCACAAATATTAAAAAAATTATCAAGTTCATAGTTTATTTCACAAAGGCATACATATACATATGTATATTATAATATAATATTATATAATGGTATACATATGTACAATGTACATATATAATAATATATTAATTTCAGAAAAAAGACAAAAGTGGTGTTAAATTGACAGATTCATAACCTTAATTATTGGGAAAAAATTACTTTATTATTTAATTATATTATAACAAAAATAAACCCATCTTGAAAATGACATATTTTATGTAAAAAAATCTTGGCATTAAAAAAAATATATCAAATTTCAAATAAAAATTGCCGCAAGGCCAGAAAAATCGCATTTTTCACTTTGATGGAGTTTTTGATATTTTGTTACTTATGGGTGAATCTCACGAAATGTCCACCGATGGTGTTACCCCGTGATATTTAATAAAACTAAA